CCCCAGCCCCCCGCCCCCACCTCCGTCAGTGCCACACCTGCATCCATCTCCATAGCTCCGCCCCCCGTCCCACCTGTCAGCGTGTCGTCGTCAGCTGGAGGCTGGGAGAGGTCTCAGAGCACCCTGCCCTCCGTCAGCAACACCCTGGATGAAGTGTTCTCCTCCAGTCTGAGGTCCAAGCCTTCGAACCCCGCTGCCACTGTGGACAGGGAGGAGGAGGGGTCAGCCAACACGGACAGCCCCACCTTTTCTCAGGTGAGCTCTGAACAACTCCTGTTTGGTGTTTTTTCATCAGATTCTTCAAGAAAACTTCTGATTATCCAAACATCCAAACATGCTCTGGTCTTTTGTTTAAACACTTGTTTTTCTTCCAGTTTAACACCAGCAGCAGCATCCTGAAGACTGGATTTGACTTCTTGGACAACTGGTAAAAAACCGAGACCAGTTCCTGCACTGAACCTGATCATCATCACTTCAATGGAAGGACCACCAACATGACGGTTCTTTAAACCCACCACGTTCTGCTCTYATCATCCTCAGTGATTCATTTAGGCTTTCTCACCACCTATACGCTGCTGATTTCTTTTCTTCACAAAGCGGCCATCTTGAATTTTTAATTATTTTGTTGTTGCAAACACTCTGTTTTATTAAATATAAATAAAGCTGAATAGTGTAGGAATAAAGTAATTGGGACACAAGTTTGTGGACATATTTGTGAACTTTGTAAGAAGGTGCACTTGGCTGCAGCCTCTCGTAGCTCATAGACACTAACAGTTCTTCAWGCTTAAGAGTTTAATCTAAAACTGTCGCATTTTATTAAAGAACAGGTTTGCTTTTATTTCTAACTGATCACGTCGCTTCTGTTTGAGGTTTTATAGTGGCTGTAGTCCTGTCAGATACTGCAGATTAATAACTGGTCGTTGATGTTTAAGACTTCAGATGAGGAGAAATTATGTTTTATCAGAATTATATTTCTAATTTTAATATTTTCATTCCAATATAAAAAAGACTGTTGATGTTTTGGAGGTTTTGTTAATCGGTTGTACGCTCAGGCTGTTACAARTAAAGCTCTTTTATGGATCAAGCTTCACATGCGCAGCTGCTTTGATAAAAACAAAACATTGAAACATTTGTTGGTAAGTGAGCAGACGTCATGGATCAAAACCCCAGAACTTAATAATTAGAGTCCTATTTTACTGAGTTTTATATTTATCCTCTGGTTGTATCTGTTACATGAGTATTATTTTGAGATGATGGTAGTTTGAAAATAAATGAAATGTAAAATATGTTTGTGTAAAAGAGTTTGATTTTTCTTTTTTTTTTAAACTTCAAGCTGTACAGAACAAGTTCCTCCAAATTTATTTTCATCCAAAAGTAGGAAAAGTGTCAAGAAGAAGGGCAGTGCAGACCAGTGTTTCCCAAAGTTGGGGTCGGGACCCAAAGTGGGGTCCCGAAACATCAAGGTGGGGT